TAGATCTATCACTGGCTACATGATATTACAATTCACTTGAGTACTGGCTACTCGGAAAACATTGTATATACATTGAATGTATCTCTTATTTCAAATAAAACTCTTGTTTCGTGAAATTACTTCTGTATAGGTAGAACTTACTTTTAACGGCTTTGAAAACATAAAGATGATGACAATTTTCTGTGATTGGAAAAGCTTGTGTAGAGCAACTTTAAACACTAAAATGAACTATGTATGAAATATATGTGCTTTTTTAATCATAATAAATTCCAACGAAATGTGAAAACTAAAAATTGGCATATTGAAAAGAAAACATTATTTGCAAAGTGTCTTCTCACTCTCATATTTGTAGCTTTGAAGTATATGTTCAAAAGATTTTTCAGAAAGTGTATCAATATATAAAACTTGAACACGATATTCTTTATTGAAATTATCATATTGGCTGGCCGAAGCGATCACACCCACAAAATTCGAGCAAGGAAGCAAAATTCAGATCTTGGGAACTTTTCCTTTTGTAACCGAACAATTAGAGATTGGAACAGTTTACCTGCAGCAATTTTCAAAGCTTTTCCTCTCAGTGTCCGAAGTTTTAGAAACAAGTTAGAACAAGATGACAGTAACAGATATTAAATGAGTAAGGGCGGTGAAGTGCTGTGATGTGCTGGTCAGTGTAATTCAAAGCAAAAAAGTGAAGTGAAGTGCGGTGAACGTGATCAATGCACTTTTCAATGCTGCTTTTCGTCTTGTACTGTATTGTACGGTACTATTATTATTATTATTATTATTATTATTATTATTATTATTATTATTATTATTATTATCATTATTATTATCATTAATAGTATTAATATTATTAATGTAAATGTTGTAATTTTTGCAATTATTGTCACTTAACTGCCACCAGATCTTACCCAATTGCATTTCTAATAAAGTATGTATGTATAATTATTTACTCATTCATTTACATTCGATCATACTCAAAATTACATTATTAGAATAACTATTAGTAATTGAACAAAATCCGTTAACAATTCGTCTTTGATTAAATTTACATATTACAGGAGTATTATGTGCCACAATATATACATTTATGGAATTTGCATTCCAACATATTCTCCATAAAGGAGCATTAAATCATCTGTTAGTTGTACTGTCTGTTAGTTGTACTGTTAGGTGTATAATGTGTAGAATGAATATGTCTGAGTTCTAGTAGGGATTAACCAATATATGTTACAGAGTAAAAATGTACAATCTATGAATTTGTTGACTAGTTTGAACAAAAACAATGTAACTTTTAATTTCATATGTGATAACTAACTTAGATTCACAATAGTAGCTATGTTTGAATAGTCATGTGTTAATTGGGGGATTCCAATGATAATCTCCAGTGCCATATGTTGCTGAAATTGATGCTGGATTGACTGAATTGAAGTATCATAGTAAGGTGCCTAGATTGATAAGCCATGCAAAATGATAGGTCTCACCAAAGATAGGTACAAATTTCTAACATATACATATATGTATGCGTATACACAATGAAACCCCTTTTCATGACCACTCTTTCAACGCGACCACCCCCTCTTCCCAACTACTTTCTTGTGATGTAATGTTTTTCCCGGAAGACCAATGCATTTAAATCTTCTTTATGCTGACCGCCCCTGATCCTTTAAGTCTCCAGCAAGTCCTTTACAAAATTGCTCATTTTCCCCTTCATGGCGACCACTTTTAACTAAGTTTCAAAAAACATTTTTCAAAGTCTGAAGCTAGCTGCAACTTGCGGCACTGTCGGTAACCGACGATGATCCACACGATACGAGGATCCACCACTGTCATTTCCACCCCTACCTTTGGCTGTTGGCAAATATCAAGTGCAAAAAGAAACATACAATCATTTCTCTTGAGATTTGCTTACCAGTGATAAGGGAAAGCGAAAAGGAAAAGTGGCAGCAGGAGTTAGCTAAGCTGTTTAATTGTGGTAAAAGTCAGGTATAGACAATTGTAGCCAGTCGAGAACAGTAGTTGAAAAATTGTGAAGAAAACTTTTTTATGGACTTCAAGAAAAGACGTTGGCAGCTGTAAGAAAGCATTAACAGGTTTCTTTAGAATAGTTTAATTGTGGATGTTCGAAGGGCCTCCCTGTAAGTGGGCCAATGTTACCAGAAAAAGCTTGTCGGATCATGGAGTCGAAAACTTTAGAACCAGCAATGGACAAGACAGATTTTGTAATCGCTACAACGTTCTTTTCTGAAGTGTTGGTGGTGAAAGTGATGTATTCTATTCAAATATGGTCAATGTCTTGAAATCACAAATTTCCGATGTCACCAAAGAATAAGTGCCATGTGACATTAACAACATGGATGAAACAGGCCTTCTATTTAATAAAATACTAGACAAAATGTTTACAGTGAAAGAAGACAAATGCAAGGATAATAAATTACCAACCAAAGACCAACAATTGTGTTATATGACAATATGTGCAAGGAAAAGAAGCAGCCTAGTCTTGTCGCATCTGTGTCCATAATGCTTCAAACACTACAACTACTCTGAGAAACATTCTGGCATGCCAATGAAAAAGCATGGATGACAAGCAAAATATTTCGTTCACAGCTGCACAAACACAATAGGAAAAAGCCACATGTAAACAGGAAGATTAGACATCGATAATGGCTCATGTCATTGCAATGAAAAACTTTCAAATGTAGAAATTATTTCTGCAAAGTACGACGTCTTGCTTGCAACCAATGGATCGGAGTAATTCGAATGTTTGAAATTTTGTACAGGAAAAATCTATTGAGTTAATTATTTGCTAAGTATGGATAATGTCACAACAGTTCATGAATAAGCAAAATCTACTTAAGTTTCTGGTGGGTTGGGTTGCCAAGCACTATTCACTCAACTGTGGATTGGGTGAATAATGCTTGGAAAGAAGTGAAACATGAAACAATCAGAAATTTTTATAAACTGCGGATTTGGAAGAGATGAAGAGTCAGTACATGTCAGCAGTGTAGAAGTCATCGTGGATTTGGCTAAAGCCAGCAATATTGATGTTGACAGTTGATAGAATAGACGAGCAGGTTGACTGTTTCATTGATATTGAAACTTTGGACGATGTGGTTTCGGAAGTTAGCCCAATCGACAATGATGAAGGAAGTGACAGAAATTGATAGGCTTCAAGTAGATCCATTATTATACCTTTTGGACTCTCCAGTATTAGAAGGCATAGTTTATTGGCAGGTAAATGAATTGAAAAACGACAAGTTAAAATTTGTTAGATGAGATCGAAAAAGTATATAAAAATATTATTGTGGCTAAACGTGTGTAGAAATTCAAACAGACAACTATTTCAGATTTTATGCTCAAGACAAATAAAGAATAGTGTAGGAGCATGGCATGTACAATGGTTTTTGTTGGTTAATGAATTGCATGTTATTTACACACTGTT